GGTGTTTCCTTGAACTACAACTTATGAGCTTGCCTGTGAACCCACTAGGAGTTTCATCTCATCCTTGCTCATCTCCGTCCTGTCCTCTGACAAACTTCCAGAGATTTTCGTTCATGAACACAGCACTACAGACGTAGAGTGGAACACACTGGCAAAAACATCCAGCTTCAAGTTTGCTGAAAATAGTAATGCGTACTTATCACTTGATCATCACCACATCTGTGGAATGCCATCAGTTGTCCGTTAGTTTAACAATAAAGCTTCATTGCTATTCAATATGTATGGTTGAAATGAGGCTTGACTTGACCAAAGGAGGAGAAAATTCACAGTTTGACGGGCCAGAAGTTGAAATACCTTTGAAAAGAGAATCACCATTTTTTACTCACCTAGAAGCCTAAGGGTTATTCATATGGCGGGTAAAAAGACAAGGAGAAATCGATGCTCTGAAAACTGGGCACGTTACGTGGAAGAGACATGTCCTCTTCCGGGTTCCCTTATGTGACGGCAAGGAATACTCAGCGAAATATACAAGGGATCCTGAAAGACGATCGGTGTGCCACCCATCAGTATATACCTTTTCAAACAGGCAAGGAGCTTTTCATTCTCGCGAAAGTAATCTCTTGAGTTATAAAGCACTATGGAGGGCATGAGAAGTGTAAGTTTTAGTTAGTAAGGGTAAGTGGCACTCTGTAGTTGGACAGAGACTAAGATTCGCAGCGGCAGTTTCGAACATCCGGATTCGAAACTCGAAACTTGGATACGGGCCCCGAAAGCGGTCTCCGATATAAGGACAATCAAAACCTAATTATTCTCAAGAAAAATCACCATGAACACAGCATGTAGTTACTGATTATTGGATTTACTTCCTGAGAAGAGCTATGTCCCTGCATTTTATGGATGTAAATTTAAGGGAATCAGCTGCAAAGAATACTCATTTGGCCTACTGTTCCAAAAAGTATTCGAACGAATTTTCGTTGACAACTAGCAAACTATTCGTGTGTTAGGTAGAAATTTTTCCAGTCCGAAAAGGTCAAGCAACATGTGAAACTTGGAACGCAGTTTTCACTGTTGCCTCACACGAAAGCCACGAGTTTGTAGTAGCTCGATGCCCGGTTAAAATATGTGAGTGGCTGCTTTTGAAGGAAACTTCAGGCATTGAGCAGTCACATAAATTGATCAAAACAACATATTGTGAGGTTACACAAGAAGACATCAAAATATTTTGTGGATTCAGAATACATGTTCCCGCATCATAGCATAAAGAGGAAATAGGATGCACAAACAATACATCTATGGATCATCGGTTTCCATGGTAATGGTTGTCCAGTTCTCCATTGCAGAAATCGAAGGAGAGAGGACACTTGGCTTTTTTGAGGAGTAGGCAGGGCAAAGGGTAACGATCCACGCTTTAGATAGGTTGGCAGTCTGCAATGGAGCAATGGGAGTCGAAAGTGAAAGCAACAAACTCATCCAAATCTCTCAGTCCTCACTTCGACCTCGGCTTATCAGAAACTAACTACATTTTCTCGTTCAAAATAAACTCTGGCTTACTATGTACACGTGTGTTTGAGAAACGATGGATAGTGTGGCCAATGATATAAATGCAGCCTCGAGCGCTTGGAAAAAATGCTCTAGCTCACACATAATATTCAACAATTGTTCTTAGGACCTTCACATAGGACCATTTGCATGTATCCACTCGTTATGCGATTGAACAATATTCCTTGGTAAATCACTAACGACTTTCTTGCCTGTAGTGTCTAGCAGTTCCATGAATGCGACAACACTGAAAATCGAGGGCCGATGGGCGAAGTGCGGGAATGGACCGTTTCAGATCATTTTTGGGCTCAAATGGTTTCAGTTGAAGAACTTTTTTGGCGCGCTGTGTAATAGCGAGTATATTTCGCAAACAGTCTATAGTACATTACCATTTGATTGTCGATAGAGCGGAGTTTCATCCGTGTACTCAGGGTGACGTTTTGTCTTGGATATGAAGAGATTCGGTTCCCAGTGGCGTGTACCGCGGTTATCTGATCAGACATGTATTAGGAAGGTTAAGTGGGCACGTCAGATAGGGTTTTACTCTTTGTTAGGGATCTTCGTTCGTACTAGTCAGTTAGAGACCGTCACATCTACTAGAGTTTGCTCGTTATTCACACGCTGATGTTAGTAAGAGTTCTTTGGTTTTGGTTTCCTGAAATAGTATCCGAGTAGTTGTACTGCTGTGGTTTGTTTTTTAAGATTAACCCGTTGAGAGAGGTCGTTTTCGTGAAAGAACGATATTCATCGTTCTGTCTGAAGGGGAACGAAGGCGTAATCAGCTAAGAACGATCCCCTGATTAGGCATACACTCGCAATGTCGAGTGTGGCTGGGAAGCAAAAACGAGCCTTTTTGAAGTACATGTTGAGGCCATCATCTAAATAAATTTAGTGAATCTGGGATTGAGTGCATCAGGTTTCACCGCTGAGCTTTATCAGGAAGCCAAAAACATTGATAAAGTGTCTTAATTTGAAACTTTGAACACAGTAATTCTTCAGAAGCGAAATCAGTCCGAAGAATGGTCACTCTGCTGGAGAGCGTGCAGCAGGTTTTTCTCTTTTATCCAAGACTGATGGCGCGTTACCCTAGAAAAGAGACAGTTATTCATTTCTTCGTGTTGGCGATAGTCTCTTCTGCTGAATTGCTTTGTGCACACATCATGACATTGTAACTTGCAATGTGTAGTTTTCTCGAAAGAAGTCTGTAATTAACATAAAATTTCATGGGTAATCACTTCAGTGGACCACAAAGGTAAAGTACTCTAGAAGGATTTTTCAGCATAGTTCCTTCGATTGGAAGTTGCGGTAGCATGAATAGACTACTCTGTACGAAGCGTTCGGTGAGGCACACTTTTAAGCTCTGAAGGGGGTGAAGTGATAAGTCACCTGATGTCCTATTTGCTTAAGGAAAAATAACTAGTATCAAATGACCGGACGAAAACAGAATGTTCACCTGAAGTCCCCAACTTATTCCCTGATAGCTTATAGTGTTCCTCATTAACTCTGCAAGATAGAAGTATCGCTATTACCTACATCTGACTGAGTGAATAGGTGAGTATACTTTAGAAGTTTCATCCATACACTGCAGTTCGGTGATTCAGGGGGTGAGATGGCTAAGTGGTTGGAGCGCAAAGTTACTGACCGGAACCCGATCCCCTGTCTAGGCTTACGCAACCTGGCAGTATCCCAGGCCCCGTGCTTCCTTCGGGTGTTATGGCAGCCGGGCACCGAAAGGTTGTTAAGGCTGAAAGATTAAAAGGATCGATAACTGTTTCTTCCAGTCACAGTGGAGGATTGCGTAAAGGTCACATAGCCTCACCTTAACACCTGCCTGTACACAAATAGATAGTGTGATAAAACGAAATAACGCTGGTTGTATCCTTGTTTTACCGTCCCTAATAATGAAACAGCTACATCGGGCTCGAAAAGTGCCTCAGAATGTTCTCTGTCAACAGTAATTCACATCACTTATACTCACTCCAATAAAAAGGTGGGTGAAAAGCCTATTGCTAACTATCTGGCTACCCATGTAAATAAATGTAAGTCTATGGATGAACTATAGTAAGAAAACTGGAGTACACGAACACTGCAGGCATCAAGTTCACAAAAACTAAGATGAGTGCTGAATTCGTTATACGAAATCTATTACGACGCAGGCAACATTTTTCGGCTCTACGAGCACCTTACTTCATGGCGTTAAATAGCACAGTGCCGATGACGGAACGACCGCCTGCCGCATATTCTCGATTCCCACATGTCGCAGGTTGTTTATTCATAGGGTTTTTCCTCATATGTCTTAAGGGGAAAAGCCCCGTTGATTCAGATCCGCTAATGATGGAGGCCATATCAAGAAACCATCAAATCTTACGAGTCTCTGACGTAGGATCTATCTCGAGTGTTCTATTCTCGTCTTGTAGAAGTATGCATGAGTGATTCAATTCAGTGAACTGAAACTGAACAGCGAAAATGTACTCAAGGAGTTGAGCGCTTCTTTAACAAAATAAGGACCAGTTATCAGACTCTGCAGATCTCTGGACTAAACAAGCTGCATGTCACAAGCTGGTTTGTTTGAGTACATCGGTAAGCATACCTTCACTGACTCTCATCGCATGACAATACAACTCCGAATACGCACATTTCTCATATACCGATTTTTGGTGGACGTAGCGGTAAAGTCACACTAGATCAGATGTTGAATTTCATCACCAGTGACTATCTATACTCATTCTGGCAAATGAAACGGATATTTCCGTCTTGAGCTTTCAACAAATGCTATCCTTCCAAACAATCATCTTTCTAGTGAATAGTCACATGGGTTGTGGTTGGTGAATTATAAGCTGTTGCTGTTCCTGCTTTCAGTGGTGGCAGGCTTTTGAGCTTTGGTCACTTAGCACTTATCCTTATGTATATTCGACAGCAATGGGCCAATAAAAGCCTCTTGTTTTTGAAGTGTCACCAGTGCATCTTTGAATACATTTACAATTCAGCATCTCTGTCAACAACGGTCTCAGTTACTTTCAAGGTCTCTGCTTCCACACACCACTTTGTAAGGCAAATAGAACGTAAATGCAGAGTCTAGTTTGTCGCCCAACAGTTTTTCCCAACAAACAGAGAGAACTAATGGAATCGTCGTCTGTCTGCAAGCGACGTCAGCCCTGGTGTTTGTTTAAATTGCTTATAGTTGTTTTCTCTCCTATACAGTCTGGAAACACTTATGAAACTAGAATTTTGTGGTCCCCCTCAAAAACACTAATTCTTTGAGATAGCCATGGATTTTTGAGTATTCTGATTTCCGTTTTCCATAACTGATATTTCTCAGATTGATAAAATCCTACCTTAGAAAAAAGCTTACTCCCCACACTTAGTTGACACTCCTGGTGACCATTCGATAGCATATGCCTTTAATCTGTCCTACTGTCCGTCCGTTAGTGAATGCTCTTTTCCACTACTTCTGATTTCAGTCACACCGTGAATCACTCGAACGTGTTTCAGACCAATCGACCAATCACGTTCATAAGAAGGAAGACCGGGTGAAGCGTCCGATGAATGCTTTCATGGTCTGGTCCCGTGGGCAGCGTCGGCGTATGGCCCAGGAGAACCCGAAGATGCACAATTCAGAAATCAGCAAAAGGTTGGGTTCGTTGTGGAAAAGCTTGTGCGAAACTGACAAAAAGCCATTCATTGACGAAGCCAAGCGCCTTCGAGCAAATCATATGGCGCAGTATCCGGACTACAAGTATCGACCAAGGCGGAAACACAGACCGATGGAGAAACAGAAAAAGGGTTCATCATCAGTCAATGCGGTGATGGGATCCTACTTGGGCGGAAGTGGTTCAACTCCAGCAATGCTTGGACGTACCGGTGGTGGGCTGACTCATCCCGCTCGTCACATGAGCAATTTGTTTGATGCTCTTGGATCGTGTCCTCAGAGATCGGCTCATTTTAGCCAGCACATTCACAAGCACGAGCACCACCATCATCTTCACGGGTTGTTTGGTCATCCCCATCAAACACAAGCAAACTATACAGGACAACATCCACCGTACCTTCCTTCACATCTAGCAGGAATAATGAATGAAAATCCGCCTTTTGGGACAGTCACACCGCCTATAGGTGGTGCGTTTCACTCAACGAGTTCAACGAATCCATCGGATGATTCGGCAGCAAACTACCTCAGTCAAAGCCTTGTGCCATATTACAATGCAGTCAGCGAAGATGAAGGCGGGCTTCGAACTGGCCGCGCATGGCCACCATTTGAACATGCTTCGGCAGAATATCCCTCCTCTTACCAACAAGTTTCTTATCCAACTAGGCCGATAATGAACGCTTTGGAGTCCAGCTATCGCGATAATGAAGACGAAAACTTACGGTTGTCTACTAGAAATCAAGCCGTTATTCCCCAGAGAATGGGATCCGACAATCAGCACGGAAGGCAAGAGATAGCTCTTATTGAATCTCGAACCGACCCATCAACCTTACACCCAACGGCAACTGAACCCGACGCAGCGCCATTTACAAACGTTTCGGCAATAGCGTTGACAACGGGGGACCCCTCTGAAGATAAGCTAGGGCATAGCACATGTCGAAGCCCTAACCTGAATTCTGGCAGCCAAACTCTCGGACCCAATCCTTGGGCCTTGCTCTACCCAACGGCAGCCGGCAACGAATCATCGTCGTTAGAACACCCTTGTACAGATCGCACAACAGCGATGAGGTCTAACCAGACCGGGGGTTCTAGTATTGACTCACCGCCGCCGTTTTCTTCCGGCCGCAGAAGTGGAGCAAGCACACCGGTGCAGAGGGGAATAAATCCAACCAATAGCAGCGCTGCGGCCGCCATGATGGCAGCAATGGCTGCGGCAAACTATGCTGCATCTCAGTTAGCTTATTACGGGGTCAGCGGAAGTAACGAATCTGGTACTGACACTAGATTATCTAGTGAGGTCAAGTTATCCACTGTGGGGTCCGGTCCTCAAGATCACTCTGGCTGGTCAAGTTGTGATGTCCAAAACTTTTCAACTCGAACCACCATGTCTTCCTGGTCTGGTGGACAGAAATCAGATAACGGAGCATTCGGATCAAGGTCGAATGCAGCATGCCCTCCGAGTGAAGCACAAAATCCCTACACAGCCTACTTGCAATTAGAAAATTATTCACAGCAGCATCCTTTGAATTCTCGTTTAATGACTACACCATATACAAAACAATTTTGGCCCGACCGATATGATCTATCTAGTCCAGCATGTGACTCAAACGCGCCACTGTCACTTACATCCGGATTTTCTATGCAGCAACTGGCTCACAAGGTATATTCATCTAGACCACTTTGTTTTGACCAGGTAAATGCCGTCAAAGATCCATCAGATTCATGAACTTTGCACAGCTTCCAGATCCGGCGTCGTTTCACTCTGATGTAGACTTGCCTGTTTTCCATCAATTTTTACAGTAATCAAACCAGCGGCGTAATCATACTTCCCACAAAACAAAGATACCACCAGTCATTAAAACTAGTCTGTCCTGACATCGGTCAACTGAAGTGCTCTATACTGGAAGAGTACATCTCCCATCAGTTCATCCGACCCCTTCTCGGGAACAATGCCCCTACCAGACAAGTCTTTCCGTTGAACGTCCAAACGTGGGCTACTCCTATACCATCAACAGGAAACAAACAAACGTCTGAGTGCAGTGTGCACTGACAAACACAAGCGCTCGTGAGCCGAATATGTTCTGCTAAACGGAAAATCTTCCTTCCAAAGACTGCGTCCCTTTTCACGGTGCACACCTGACCTATGAATCCAAGTCGACTAGGCATTTCTTATCTATCTGACTTTACAGCTTGTTTGAGGAGTGAAATCCATCCATGGATAGGGCTTCCTTGATGAGGTACGCAGGCTCACTCATTCCTTCAGTTTGAAAAGTGGAAATCACCTTGTCACAAAGGCACTTAGCTAGCATACACAACAGGCACTCAAATGGAGCTCCTTATCCCACCACTAAACAGCGACTGCATGACAAATTCTTCAGTAACTCGCATTCAATGCAAGTGAATAACTTCCTTAATTTGGTCCTCCGTGAGACAAATGTGGTGTTTGTACAGAATTAGATGATATTATGTAGGTGACAACTTGTTACCACTGTACACTATCCCCATGTGTATTTTCACGGAATTGACCTGTGATTTTTTCTGTTTGGATGTTTTGTTCAAACCGGTGGGAAGCGGAGTTCCCGTAGCTAAAAACCCATAGATTGCTGGTGGTGTGAGGAGATCAATGAATTTTAGTGGAGATTTTGTCCTGTAAGTGAAGCCAGCCGAGAAGTGCTTCTCGGTTTTTCGGTACAGACTGGCTTCACTTACAGGAAGGAATCTCCAGTAAAGGCTAGAATTCAGTTGTTGGCTTATGCTTTCTCCTGATAACACTGATTTAATTCGGCAGACAGCTCCCGAGGTTTTTATTTCCACAATCCAGGACCCAAGTGATGGATGATATAGACCCAGCTTGTCACGGCTGACAAGATAAACCAGCTTACTGATAATACTACTACTACTACTACTACTAATAATAATAATGAGGAATGGTCGTCACTAGATGAAATCCACATCCTAACTTACAATCCTGATGAGGCGTAAGAATTTTGGCTTGAGTTTCGTGCCTATACGGACCAAGAACCCAAACTTTGCAAACATGGTTCTCATGTTATGGATGTTTTGGACGGATGAACTTTCGTCCTTTTCTGTGCATCGTATTGCGTCACCCGCACAGTATCGGTCTTAGGATCGGACAGGGTGGAATTGTCACACAGTTGGCGCCAAGAATTGACCGAGATAGGTTTTGGAATCTAGGAAAGCTTTATCACGTCAATTGCTGCACTTTCAGTTGTATACCTCGAAAGCAAGGGTGTATTATTCCGACTGGAGGGGTTGAATTTGATAAAGAAAAATGGGTAAACTCAGCGTGAGTGAATTCAGACTAATTGGTTGATATGTTCATGTGATGTAAGATGAGTTCTTGCAGAAAAAAAAGCATTGAATAGTTGAACTGAAGAATTTCAAACGTAAGGCGTAATCCACACCGGCCAAAGTGTATGACAGAAAAGTAGTACGCTTATAAACTGGGTATGCAGTGCAATTGCTCTCCTCCTCAACCCACGCCATCGTATTTTGCAAGCACATTCCTTAGGCATTCTCATTTTTATTCGAACGGCGTTTGTTCGAAACAAACGGGAAAAGATTGCAGGATAAAGAAGGAAATGAACAGAACTCAAGCATATCAATTATTGATCCGAATTTCCCGTTGGTTCGTATTCAGATTATTGTGCTTCGGTTGATCTACAGCAACCCAAGTTATCGGGCGGAAATGAAGCACATCTGAAGTTTCCAGAGAAACGCTATCCTCAAAATTGGTTTGAGGATGATACCGTTCTTATTTATTGAGAAATGTTTCCTACAATCACACCAAGCTCACTAGTCTGTTCAGATTGATATGTTGATTTTAGGGGAGTGTTAGCACCATACACCTTTGGGTAGTTCACGAAAAACACCACTAAGACCACCGGTTGTTCGAGATATCTTCGCTTACATCCACCCTGGCACTTATGAGTTCTCAATATTTTTCGATGAAGATTCTTTCCACTGAAATTTCGATCGATATCAATTTTGTAGTCAGAGAACCTATAAGATGTCACACTACATGGTGAAATGGTGCAATGGCAATGAAGGTATGGCCAGTCGAACACTTGCCGAACCGTACCACATGTTTGAAATAGACGAACACGTTGGCTTTACCCAGTGGTTGACTGGAATTCACAAGGAGCACAGAGTCAGGTCAACGAAAATTAGTACCTTGTAAAACCACTAGTGAAATAAAGTTGCATTCGGTAATTATACTGCGTAGGTAGTGAGAAGAGTTTCTTATCTTACTTTGGTCACCTCTGGTATGAGTAAGTTTCTTACATGTCTGGAACTGCAGCTTTCCAAGTGCGGCGGTTGGTGGTGAGGTGCTCGCAGATACTGACCGAATGCTGGATCCAGTGATTTTGTCCTGTTGGCCCAGGTATTCACTGTCTGGATTGACTGTGTCCGTTGAGTCATTCGAATGACCGTCTAGTTAATCTCTCTGTAGTTTGGGAACAGTTCTGAGTACGAGGGCGACAAATAGCTTGTAAAAGCCATCGGAGTCACTGTCCTTAGACCAGCTCCTCAGTGCAGCAATATCAGACCCTTGACACCTCTGGTGATCATGGGATATTCCCCCCAAACCCCAGTTATCAAAAATCCCCAACTAGCGAGAATGTGAGACGCGCATTGAATGGGTCTTGCAAACATACTGACTGATATATTGATAGAAGTGGATTGATTGCTTTTCCTTGCCACAATACATGCTCTTGTTGTGAGGATGCTCTGTAGGTTTAATCTAAGTAAATAAATGCCGTCCTGAGTCTCGCTGTTCGGAAGAATGGCGGAAGCGGAGTATATGAAGTCGAAAACATTCTCCGGCGCCAATCCGTTCACCTAGGGTGATTCGTCACAACTGTTTGCTGATGAAGAAAAGATTTTAGTTTTTATGGCTATGACCTCTAGGCCGACGAAAGAAGCATGCTGTTGGATTCTAATGAGTACCAGCCGTTGACTATAGTGAGCTTCAGTGAAGACAACTGTGTCATCTACTAAATCAATGTTTGTAATATATTATGCCCGATCACTACTCCAATATTCATTGACAACTTGGCACATTATCTGTTAACTGCGAAGTCGGACAAGGTGAAGGAGAGTGGACAGCTCTGTCGAACCCAAGACGACAAGTAAATGATTTAAGACTCTTCACCAGCCACCTAGTAAGACCTCAAGAGGGTTACCGCTCGACTCCGATGTGCTTCACAGTACTTCTATGTTTACCGACTCCGCACGGAAGCCGACCAATCAGGTGACAAGTGACTGGTGCTATTTTTATCCTTGTTCTAGATTGTGGCTTAGAGTGAAGATTTGAAAATTGCAAGCTTTCCCAAGGTGAAAAAATGATTTGGTCCGGTGCATGAGGGATTTGCGCTCACAGAGAGATTCAAAAGAACGATTGCAACTAATTTAGAAAGTACGATCAAGAAACCAATGCCATGAAAATTGTCACAAACAGATTTGTCGTGCTGACAAAATATAATACCCGGTGCCGTTTCTGTCCGTCTTGCGCCTCATCATATAGGCACAGTCCCTGAGTTTCCATCAGCTTTATGTTCTACTTGGAACACCAGTTGGCTAGATACGCTCATGTGCAAACTAAGCTGGTATTAACGAGAGCCTCGTTCTATGAGATTATTTTTTTGGAGGACTACAGTCAGTGTGTTATGGTCGCATAGGGACTCAGTTGGCCGGCCAGAATTACGATGGCACGTAAAACTGGGTTATTTGTAATATTCTCTATATAGTAAAAGTTTCTCGCCTGAGTCGAGGATCCAGTGTGCTGAATGGACTGAGAAGGTAGCCGTTTTGGGAGGTTTACATCGTATAGCCAGCAACATTTGACGTATCTACTGTACCGACCGCAATACCGGTGCGGAAGCGATTTCATTCGACCCAAGCAACTGATTTTCTGAAAAAGCTTGGAATATTTGACACCCTTACTTCCTTGGCCCAGCTTGATGACCGCAAGATGCTGTATCAAACCTTCTCCGTCTGCGACACTGCGTTGTTCCCATATTGAATCTCACCAACTGTATGCGCCAGCGTCAAACCTGGTTGGCTTGGCTGTGAACAAAGGGGTGGTGTTGCGCTTCTCCAAGGGATGGGTTTTCAGAGGAGCTGTCAGGCGGAGCCTAAGCTCTGTGCTCATCCCCATGACCTGATCATCCTTGGTTTCCTGCATATACTCTGAAGAACCGGTAATCCTGTATGTTTAATGCCCACCTAGATCTCACCTGAGTGCAGTCGCCCAGGTGAGTTGTGTGGCTGTTTTTCGAGCAAATGTTTCTTAGGACGTTTGAAACATCTAGTGTTTACCGCCACCCAAAGATGTCAGAAGAGCCAAAAAACCTATTACCATTTCCACGATGAAGACCGAGACTGTACCTTCCAAGAATATAACAAGTTCATGCAATGTAAGTTTCGGTGCAGGCAGTCCGCTTACCAGCGACAGTATTTTGTCAAAAGCCGCTTGAACTTGACGCAGAATTCTTCTTTGATGTGCTGCTGGGAATCAGATGTCGGTACTTATGCGGCCGAAAAGGGTGATGTTGAATGGCGAGCTTTTGAACCTTGTCAGTTCAGTTCTTCAATTGGTCGGTTCGGAAGCCAATAGCTTACTTGGACAGCAAAGTGCAAAGCTTACAGCATAAGGATCGGAACTATTTTGTGAGTCACTATGGCACATCTAGATTAATCTGT